AAAGATGTTCACTTATCATAGATAGGAAGGCAATGGAAGAATAAAGGCAGCATAATTCAAGAAAGCAATAAAAAACAACCAAAATCACCATACCTTATGTGCATTCCAGCGAAGTTCCAGAAAGAATAAACATAGTCGCCGCCAATGACCATTCCGATGTACGTGACAAATATGTTCTGAAGTACACAAAATTAATTCTAAGACGAGTAAAACAAAACCCAACCAACTTTGATTGTGCCCATACAGGAAGTACCAAGTGGTCCGTTGCAGTGGGTACACCATAAGGTAGCGGCATTAAGCAAAAACCCACCAAAACACGAGAGCAAAAACAATCCTATGAATACTGGATCCGTCCAGTAGTCAAATGCCATTACCTACAAGACTGAAGCATTGGAAGCAACATGTTTTCAGAAAGACTAACCTCTGGCAGGCCTTCGAACATAATCAAGGGAGCTATTAATGGCAAAGTGAACAAAGAGTTGTAATAAAGGACAGCATTTTTGCCTAATTCCTAAAATAAGACTAGACAGCTGACGAAACAGAGTAATTTATACCTTTATGTTGAGCTTCATCTTCATACATATGGTCGTGGACGCTGTTGACAGATCATTGAGCAGCAGAAAAGTGTAACCCATGGTATCAAAAGTGAAATCGTCCCTACAATCGAAGAATTTAACAAATATAGTAACGATGAAGCATATACAGGTCTAAAACAATAAGGAAAAACGGAAGACGCGAAATTTTTAGTTATGCAGGCAGAGGAAATTTCAGCCGGGTCGCTAACAGCATGAGTAAAGACTACTTAAACTGCCAAAAAACTTAAACCTAAGATGCCAGAAGAGATAAATATCTGGGATGTAGAAAATACTGAAAGAACTGTCCATTATGAAACAAGCAAATTCTTAAAACACGATCGGTATTGGGCTGTTGTACAAAGGCACTGCCCTTTGAGATAGTAGAGCACACAACCTGAATGTTCTAAACTGATGTGATATGCGGTAAGTTGTATTTTATCACATCATTTCAGCAGGAAAGAAAGATAAAAAACGTGAAAAAGTAACTGTTTTGCCGGTCAGATATGGAGAGTATACTTCGAGGAACACCTTAACTCTGAGAAACCGAAGACGTCTTTCGGCAGATGAAATTACACAAGTTGTAAATACTTGAAAAATGAACATAGTGCTGGAATCGAAGACATTCGCCATGAAATGCATAAAGCAGGAGGTGAATCAGGCATGTATTTGCTTAAACGTGTCTGCCAATCTGCAGTGGCTATAGGAAAAGGACTAGTAGATTGGGAAATGAGGGTTTCAGCTCCCCTGTTCAAGAAGGAAGACCACAGGAAGTGCTCCAATTATCAGAGCATTACCTTATCGAGCCTCCTGGGTAAAGTCTAGGCAAAAGTGCTAGAAAAGAGGTGCTGTGGAATAACTGACTCCAAGATAAAAGGAGTGGACTCTGACTCAGCGGAAGCACTTATGACCAGATATTCACTCTACGCCAGATTACTACGAAATTGTGGGAGTTTGCCCATCCGGTGTACATGCGTTTTGTTGACCTAGAGAATGCCCATGTCCGGATCATGCGCAACAGTCTGTGGGCATGTCTGCGAATTTACAGGATCGATGGCTAGTTGCTACGGGCCATCTAATCACTACATGCTGACAATAGGTGCTGCGTCAGAGTAAACGGCGTTAAGTCGAAACCCTTCAGCGCTGGCACTGGTC